ACTGTGATGGTTGGAGCGGCATTTGCGCGAAGGAAGTGAAATCTCTGGGGTTGAGCAACTGAAGACCACACCGAAGTTATCTTGGAGATGTCCACCTTTATTGCGTCTCGAGACACGCTGTTGTACAGACAATTACTCTGATCGGAAGGCAGCGCGATGATTCGGCTATTGTCTTTCTACTTGAAATTTAAAGGTACAAGCAGAACCTGTCTGCTCGACTTGAAGAACCAAAACTTTTGAGAGCCCGCACCAACGCAATCCCGCTATAAATACCCCCACAACTCGTAACTGTTCTTAAATTTTGAATTTAATACGGCGATCCGATTCGCCCCCCAAAAAGTCACCCTATGACGTAGGAAACACGCCGAAAATGATGAAGTAAGACGTACCAAATATCATCTAATCACACCTCCTTCGTTTATATAAACCAGATTAATATGCCAAAGCCTGGTTTAGGTTCAGCCCGTTCGGAAATCGAACCAGTAATTAAGAATTCAGTCCGTACCGCAAAGAAAACACAACACTTCACAACAGAGTTCTTGGCCTACCAGCGTTTCAAATAAAACACTTAAAGCTATTAACAACACACAAGTTTCAATAGCTGGTAACTAAAATTTAAAAGTGTTATATCGATTTTGGTCTTCTGGCATAATGTCCATATCAAATTTCAACAAAGCCCGCTCAGCGGTTCTCGAGTTTATTCATGCGGACAGACAGACATGGCCAACTTTACATACGCCAAATTCATGCGTATCGTGCACAGAACTTGTAATATGCAGACGTTCATGCTCTGAATATGTTTGCTTCTCTAGTAGATCTCTGGTTAAAGAATTCACTCGTGTATAAAACTGGATTTTGTATTTGTAGTTGTCATACGAATTTGCATTTAAAATCTGTCATCATAAAGGTGTATTGGATTCAGCGTAACCTTTAGAACACCTTGACCCAGATGCCCAGACTTGGTTGTATCGATAGCGGAACTCCAGATTTCTTTTACCCACGTGGCTCAAACATGTTTTCATTTCATGCACATTCCAATTCTCTTTCTTCGTCAGTTTCACGCCAAGAAGTTGCCAAAAGAAACCTCATTTCCTCCTGTCCCTTACATGAGAAAATATCGTAGAATGTGGGACACTGCTGCTGCACACCACTTGAGTGACGTGCCCTACTATGATCGACGAGGCATTTCTAAATGTGTCCAAGAGTTATCTCTGATAACGTGAAGAGTATTTTAAACGATTTTATGCTGTTATCATTGTTCATATAATTTTTTCGAAACGATTGAATTTTATACAATTATTTTATTAAACATGACATTTTATACAGATAATTTTTTTTACGTGAAAAGGCAGCGAATTGCGATCAAAAATGTATCTGGACCCTTAAGCAACGTAGACTTTCACAAATTAACAAACTTACAGTTACACAGGAAGAAATGTTTACTTATATTAATATAATAAAAGTGACGAATAAGTCTATATAGTTTCTTTAAAATCTATCAATATTTTGTTGTTTTACGTACTGATGTATTTTCAACAGCATGGACAAGAATAATGGCTATTAATGACAAATTTTAAAGAATATTTAAGAAAGCATGTATAACCTACTTTAAGGTACATCCTTCTATTCGCCTGGAGGAAATGAGAAAAAACATGAGAATATTCGGTCGAGATAACTGTCCTTTGGTTCTAGTACTTAGCCTCCCGAACACGAATCAAAGGACCGCCATGTTCGATTGAATCCGTTAAAGAATGTGGTTTATTAGGCGCGGTTGCATCCCTACGCCAAGCCCTTTAAAATAGGCACTGTTTAGTGACGCGAATGTTTCTGGTATGCCAATTTTCTTCAATCGTGCGGACAATTAAAAACAGACAGAAATGATGAGGGCATTTGCCAAAAAAAACTGTTATATTCGAACCGAGGAAAACAATAAAGTAATAAAACCAAGCTGTTTTGAATAAAGCACAGGTCTATACATTAAACAATGGATAAAATGTAGACATGTATTCAAGCACATTGTCTCCTTGATAATTACAGAAGCAGCAAATTGCTGTTTTTACTACAGACGTTATTTTATTGAGTGTCAGTTATTTCGTGTTTTATTTGTTTGATTAACGACCTGTCTCAAGTGTACAGTTACAACAGCGTCTAATTTGAACAGCTGAGTACGAATAATAAATTTATAGATACGAGAAGAACCAACCGTAGTCTGTATTACGATTCTACACTCGTATCTGTTTTGTGAACGCGAAACACGAATTCCAACTAAATATGATTTTAGGTTCTCACGGCGGTGAGTACGAAAGACAGTTGTCTTCTGGGGTGTAGCGCTGTGTAGTCTGGTAGACGTTTACGGAGTTTCGGAGGTGTTTACTGCCTCCATCATCACAGCAATCATCCCCCTAATAATGGAGACATCAAACACCTCTGAAAAGTCGTTAAACTTCTACCACACAACACGGCACAACATTTCAGAAGAATCTATCTTCACACTCGCCGCTGTGAGAACTTGAATTTTCACCTAATATTGTGTTGTTCATTGACCACGTTCCTTTTCATGTGGCTCCAATACTGAAAGCAATACAAGATTTGTTTCTATCCCTTGTCACACGTGATATTTTGAACAGGATGCACTGTACTTTCTTTAGTCTCTGTAAAAACAATACGATATATTTGGAGTGAAGAAAACTTCCCTGAGGTTATAGTGGTTTATTCAAGGTTATATGTACCTACACGTTTACCGGAAATACCAGTTTAAGTTCGAAGCAAAACAATGTGTTTCTGACGCTTTACTTTCAGTGCATGCAACCATCTTACGTCCAAAAAAATCGTAGGAACTTTTATGTTATACTTCGTTACTCAATTTCTTTATTCCTATAATTTTACCATATTTTATCTCCCTCCCTTCACTCCACATAGGAACATGCCGAAAAGGGAATGTTTGGGTTCAAACCGCCCCTGAAATCCGAAATGTTGCACGTAAAACATTCTTCCATCCTAAGAAAAGAAGAGATTGTAAATTATCAGATCGTTCCAACATTCACATTTCGTATCATTCAGCTGTTCCTAAAGCATGTACTATTTGTCAAGATAAATTGTTTACACTTCAAAATGAATCCTCCATCTGATAAGATAACAACAGCATACCATCAATATAAGACTTCATATTCTGGTAGTAAAATACTAACGAATTAGGAAAGTCACGTATTAAATTCTCGACCTGTAGACCGGCTGTTCTACTGACGTTTTAAGTGGTTTTATTCACTCCCTAGACGCAAAACGCTGGATATTAAACAGGCCACACGCGCTGTCTTTCACATCATTTTCAATTCATCTAGTCGTCCTCTCGTTCCACGCAGTTCAGAAAGCATTGTTAAAATATACTAAAAAATCAGAGCTTTGCAAGTGATTGATCGGGGAACAATTTCAATTTGTCTAGAAATACTGTAATTACATGTCAATTATTATAAAACGTCAACCGCCTGTGGTTCCCTGTAATACATTGAATTTAATTCCCTGTATTTGTCAGGTACTCCGTTCTTATCTTGATAGGTTTATCAGCTCAGTGGTTTTCCTTGGCTTCTGAAGGTAAAGTCCGGAACAATTCTTTCACAGTCCCCGGCCTCATCCTTCTACACTGTTAATTATTCACAAATCATCATGAGTCTTTACATCTCATTTGCCGCTACAGGTTCTTGTAACTTTTAAAACTGAAATAGCGTCGTTAAATAAACCAGCAATCATTTATCCTCCATAATGTGCTGATTAGAAACTGTATAACAGATATGAACATAGTTGGTCAGACTGCTGTTTCACTTCGGTAGTCGATACTGATCTCGCAGTCTGCCTCTTCAAATCGCTGTCATGGTCATTAAATCGATGGCAGGAAAATAAACAAAGCATCCAGACCATCAGCTACTTCTTCAAATATATGTATGGTCATGGAATCGCAGTTCCCTAATTTTATCACCCCGCCAGCCTTTCAAATTGTTCTCGACATAAAATCACATTTTCCTGATATTTTTCCCCTCACGTATGTATCTCTTTCTCTCCTTCCAAACGTTCACGCATGCCACTTTTTTTAATTTGCTCTATGAGAATACTACAAATAAAGAGCATATCCCCATTGTGCATTTATAGACAAATCCCGGTAATCATTTGTGTATATTTTCCGGGGTTCGCAAACCACAGATATGTAGCCACTTCACCAAACTAACCTGCTTTAAAAATGCTCTGCTGCAGAGTCGAAAGACATAAGAAGGTGGTTGTGGCATTTTTTCTTCGTGCGTCGTCTGTTTCCTGGGCAGACACGAATCAGCAACTGACGAGTGACCGACCAACCGTCCTTCACATCTGACACAGCAAGCATTTTCTTCCTTGTGTTTTTACATAAAGACAGTGTCTTGTACAGCAGTGCTTTAAACAAGAATTTAAATGGTGGGGATCCCCACTCATATGCAGAAAGTCCCCACTACAGAACGCGCTCAGCATGCCAAGCTCCGTTAAAACAAGTTAATCAGGATCTCTGCTCACCCAATTTTCTCGTATCACATCATGAGCATTTTTCTTTAAAACATTTACCAGTCTCTACACTTACTTCTTTTCTGGAAATGTCTCCTCAACACGCACTTTTGTCAGTTTACAAGAATACGCTTTACATAGCCACGCAGTCCCCCACACACAAATCATTACCATTAACAGGAAAGGCAAGTCGATGCGCTATGATAATTGTAACAAATTTAATTAAATTGGAATCTGCACTAGTGGAAATGGATCACTGAGTAATATAACCGTAAACGTCAATTTGTTGTTTATGTCCCCCTATAGACTTCATGTTGTGACGATTAGTTACACAGACAACTTCCCGTTCCCTTTCTTCGGGTGGTATCTGAAAATAAGGTGCAATGGGAAATATTCGAACCAAAGGCAAATTATGGTGATTCATGGGACATTCAACAGAAACTCTAGTCATTCAATGTGTATGGCATAATAATACGGTTGTTATCTATGGAGTGGCAAGTTCCGTAGCTAAAAACTGTTTTTGTCACCGTGTGGCACTGCGATCCGTGCTACATAACCTTTGCAACCGCTAAACACTTGACTGTCGGCTGACGCCGTAATTTTGGACTGTGTTAAGTTAAGCTGCAATGAACTTTCATGAAAACAGTTTACTTTTTGCTTGTTTAGAGACAAAAGATGATAGTCAATTTGTAGTTTTCAAAAGATTTCCAGTGCAACAGAAACTCCTTAATGTCAGTGTGAAATTAAATAAGACGAACTTGTTTTAAGAAATGTGGTTTCTGTATGTACTTAGTTGGATAGCATTAATAGTGCAAATATGTTTCATTACAGTAGCAGTAGGTATGTCCATTAATTTATACTTGAGACAGAATAGGATACTTAAACTGTTTAGGCCTTGTGGGTGAAAATGACATTTTAAAATTTCATTTTAGCTCGTGTTAAATGAAGGTAATCAAATTTTAATTTTATTTCAGCTGCTGGTTTGTATTACCTAGCAGAGTTAGTAGAAGAATACACTGTAATGACCAAGAGAATTATATGGTGGATGACTGTGGTATGTATATGCCCATTGAAATAATTTGGCAAAGTAGAATATTTCTAGATTTTTGTGTAAATGTGAAACATTCTATTAAGCAGATCAAGGTTTGATATCTGACCAAGGTGTATGTAATTAATGGTTTGCAAAGGGAATAAACTTTGCAATATGGTGACCACATAACCCTTTCAGAGATGGTCCCCCCTTTTTTTTTCCTGCTTACCAACTCTTGCCCAAAGTAAGCCATTGCACTACGTCATATTATCACCAATACACTACACCTGTCACTAGATTTTAATCATGAAATACATTAAGTATGATTATGCAATTTTTATTATAATAATTTGTATTTCAATTAGTAGTTCTACCTTGTCAGCAGCTACAAAAAAAATTTGTTTTTGTTCAAATATTTATAACTATGATAGCAGAATCTGAATGTTCAGTGCTGCTGATATAAATGCCTGCCATTAAACAAATTAAAACTAAGTCATGTGTGAAAAATCTTTTATCAGAAACATTTTTGTTACTGAGGGGAAAAGTTATAATGGTGTGTAGTTTCTGAACCAGTATACATTTTTAATGAAACTTGCTATAAAGAGGTTATGTCACTAAAGGCCACTCTGCCTTGTAATTTTTAATTTTCTATCATATTACCAACATAGTACCCGCGTGAACTTCTAAGATGGGAGTGATATTGGTGCCACTTACTTTATTTGACAGGAATTTTGTAATATTACAGGCAAAAGAGAAATGAAATTTTTTAGAACAGTACTTGGTGACATGCAAAAACTGTGTTTAGGTTCCCATTTCATGACAATAATTAATGATCTATTGGAATGTGAAATTTTGTCTGGAGGTAGATAATAAATAGGAGTCATAAAATTTTGGCTTGGTTTATCAGTTAGGCAAAAATTCTATATCCTAGAAACTTGCTCTACAAGAAATGACATGAAGATTTCTGTCTTCTGGGTTGTTGCGCTGTGTAGTCTGGAAGAAATGACATGCTTACCCATACCACTATAATTGCTGCACACAAGTACATTATATGTCGGCAAAGAACTGATTACAATCAAACTGCACAGGGGAGAGGGAAGTTATAACTATTGACAGCTCTTAGTATCTTGCCCATGTAGAAATTAAACAAAGCACTGGATCATTCAAACGGTGATAGATAAAAACTTTAATTGTACTTCACCCTAATATTTTTCATATATTCGGACATTCATATTGCAACGCATCAACAAAGGCCCTCATATCCATACCAGTTACAAATTTAATGTTTTGACACCTGTTGAGAAATAAAGAAAGACAGAGCAAAAGATAATGTTAAAAGAAGTACTCTAAGATTTTAATACAATAATTTTATTCACCGTCTTTACACAAGCTTATAGATTGTTAAAATCACATAAAATTATAACATTTTATACCTCGTCAGTCTTGATTTTTCACTTGTCATGGACAAGCATTTTGTTGAGCCCTGATCATAAACATTCTTGCAAATTCAGTAATAAACATATTTTGTGTTTATATGTTAACAAGCACAAATATGTCAACAGAGCATATTATTTGAGACTGTATCAGACAAATTTAATGCAGTGGAAATTATGCAAAGAATGGATCACTAAATTGCATAATTATTATTTCTTTCTTTGTAGCCTGACCATACAGAATAAAACGTGAGGGAAAGTGGGTGTTACAAGGTTACCACAGAACTCTTTTATTTATGAGTGCAGCCATGAACAAATTTTAGTTTCAGAGTCATTGGTTTAGTACATATTGAACAGAACTTGATTTTAATTTCGTGTCTGTTTTCTTTTTTCCAGATAACCCTGTCATTTTACATAGGGTTTCTCTTGTTTGAAGACTTTCCTACTTCAATAATCATATGTGGCATAATTAGTCAAGTGGCACATTTATTTATCCTGAAGACTTTTCCATTTGTTGTGATTGCTTCTCCTGCATTCATTGTAGCAGTCATAATGCTAATTGTAAATCATTATTTGGCATTTCAGTACTTTGCAGTTGTGTATTATTCTTTTCCAGAGGTATGTTTACCACTTCTACTTATTTTGAACGTAGATAATTTTCAGACACCTTCCAAACAACATGATTTTGCATATAAGCGCATTAAGAATTTAAATAAATGCAAATATAAGAATTTTATATTTTATTACTATTTGAGTAAGTTTAATCGTCAGAAGTTTTTAATTGTATCTGACAGTTTTATTTATGTAACTACCGAGTTTTCAGACATAATTTAATGAAAGTTGGGGAAGAACTTTAAAATCTTATTCCATTTTATGCAGTGAGTAAGAGAATGAGGATGAGGATGACAGTGGTACCAAAATATGTTAAGCCTATAATAATAGTAAACAAATGACCCATTTAAAATAGAATCATCTTAGGAAGATAATGGTAATAAAAAAATTGTAAGTGGAGGGTAATTACATCTGTTTTAAAAGAAGCAAAATTAAACTGAAATATGCATTTCTCAGGTCCTGAGAATGTAAAGTGTAATTACTTCTTATTGATAAACAGAAACAAAATTAAAGAATTAAAAGCGAAACAATCTACTGGACTATTCATGATTTCATGAGTTTGTTACATTCTGTGCTTCCTGGAATTTATTAACCAAAAATTAATCACAGTAACTAGTATTCTCACAACCAGGAAAAATATAAATGGTGAAATGTTCTTCTAAATAGCTACAATGTAGGTTAGAATGTAGAATTTTTTGTTCATTTGCACATGAATTGAAGTGGATGTTCACTGTAATAAAACAACTGGGAGATATGCCACACTGATTTCAGAACATTTTCAGGTAATTTCATACTTCACTCTCTGCCTTTGGCTTGTACCATTCGCTCTGTTTGTATCTCTCTCAGCTAATGAGAACATTCTGCCAACAGTCGCAGAAACAAAGCCATTATTAGGTAAGTCAATATTGATAATATTTAACACTTTCACTGTGAAAGGTTGAACAGTCTGATGTCGAAAAGCATGTTGTACATTATAACAGAAATGTTCTGCAAAATATACAAAGAGGACTCTGGATTTATATTTTAGAAACTCTACCCCAGAAGTATAGAGCACTTCATAAGTTTGTTTACCATGCACATGGAAAAATAAATTAGAAAAAAAAAGTGTAGATTTTTCCCTAGCATAAATATTTATTCCCTATACAGTGACAATGTCAATGGCCACTACAAATGTTAACTTCTAATTTTGCAAGAATGTTAACAATATATTTTTCATTACAGATGACAATGATGTTGTCAGCAATTATTTTTCCAGGAAAGGAAAAAAATATGGGTTGCTGTCATTGTTCAACTTTGCTAAAGATTCTATTCTTCCACAACGAAATAAAAAAGCTTTCTGAATTACAGGCATGAATATCAATAAACCTACAAAAAAATAACTATGAAATGACTGAACAAACAATTTCAGTCATTCATCCATCGTAATTGTGACATCACTGTGTAAGCTAGGTGAATGAACTTAACATCACAACTACTGACATTTAATTTTAAGATGAGCACACACTTTTACTCCAGTCAGTTAGTTGCTAAGAAATTTAGATGCAACATTTTAAAGTGTGTCCATTGTGATATGAAAATCTTTGTAAATATATTTGCATTACATTTTTCTACAGGTTTATCAACAATAGTGTGGTAGGAATATAGCTTATTGAGTACAGTGCACCATTTTTTGGAAATATTCTTGTTAACCAAAGACATTGTAGTACAGTACAATTGAAGAAACATATTTAGGGATTAGTAAAGCTCATGAATGGATAAATTACATATATATAATTATAACTGTATGTATTGCTGCTTCTAATAAAATAATGTGTATCTGTGAAGGCATTTGGAAGAGCTGGAAATAAATTTGTATATATTTTTTTATTAATTTATTTCAACTTTAATTTGTATGGGTTCAAACATGTTATATTTAAATGTAATGCTTTTCAAAGATCAAAAGGGTTACTTTTTCTTTTCTGATCCCAGGTAGACAGTTAAATGTTAAAGATATCAAATACAGTTGACATGTAAAGCTTCAGTATGTACCAGAGAGGTGCTCCTGAATGCATGACATTATGCAAACAAAAATTGCTTTAATTTTGAATGAATTTGTACACAGTTTATTAAATAAATAATAACAAATATGTAATGACCAAGATTAGTGTTACAGACTGACTAATCTTCCTCTCTTTATTCATATGAAAGGAAACAGAATTATGAAATATATATAATTTGTATCAAATCTAGCTAGCAACTGAATAATGTTTTACCAGTTGGCTTACTCTAATTTATGTAAGATGGTAGTGTAGTGTATTGTATCTGGTTTTTATTTCAATCTGTCACAAGATGTATCAATAGTAAATCATCTGTTGTTGTGTTCTAAGAAATGCTTTGGCCACATTAATTTGGGGGTGGGGATTTGATGTGCATAGTTTAAAAAAAGTAAATAGTTCCAAAGTAAGAAATATATTTTATAATGTGAAAAAGTGTCATGATTAAGTTGGATATCTTTGGTGTTTTTTGTATTCAGAAAACTGGTGGCTGCCTGTATTAAATTGCTTATCTAAAGACAGAAGATAAAATATCCATACCGAAATCCATTTTGAATGGAAAATACTTGCACATCTGTAACCTTAAAGCCATGAATGTTTCAAATTGTCCAGAATGTATACTTGTCTCTTAGAGAATATGTATTGTATTTCCTGTGCATAGGTAACATTCAGAAACATCCACCACATATATTATGCCATAACTGATGATGTTCCCATGTAAATTACTGGCTACAGAACTGTAATTTATAATCAAAAGTGGTAGTTCTTTGTTTATGCACACTTGTATTACAAAATGAGAGGTTTAACCTGTGATGTACAACTTTGATTTTTACTGATTGTGTTATAATTCTGTACTTGCTGGTGTATAAGATGCAGTTATTCCAGAGATAAATGTTTTGATAAACACTATTTTTAATGAATATGCAGTAGTATATTTGGTACTGACTCATATTACTATAATGGAAACAAATATCAGCAAAGCATAAGGAATATTTTTCTGAATATCAGTACATTACAAATGCCTAATAAATATTAACATAATTATTAATAATACTCTAGTTCATGTGAATACCATGATTTCTCAACTTAATGAAATGCAAAAATAAAATTTGGCTTTCAGGCTCACATTTTGGGTGTTCGATATATTTAAATTACAAGCTATAGGTGTTAGGGCATGGTGCTTTTATGGGGTATTTATTTAAGGAAAACAATGACTTATACACCAGCAAATACATTATGGATTAAAAATAATTGTCAGTGCAGTAGAATCTTCCAAAAATTGTAAATAACAGTTCTAGTAAATTTGAATAATAAAATTAATGACTAGAAAAAAATTCTAGCCATAATTTTGAACCCTATATGATGGTTATTTATTTGTTTATAATTCTGTCACCTCTGCTTCTTCACATTAGATACGTTAGGATTACTGTAATGCTAATTAAGAGGAATGTGTTAGGAAGTGGTAATACATATTTATGGCTATTAACGACTTGTGGCTAATGATTTGAAAATGCATACTTATTTATAAGGGATCTTGGCAAACAGGTTGGTGTTAATAAATACCACCATAAATGGGACAGTAACACCCATTTCCCTTTGGGAGTAAAAGAATTATAATAAATATTACACTACTAAGTGATGACTGTGCATAATTTCCACTTGCAGACTCTCCAAGTACGTTGAAATTTTCAGAAATAACCTCAAATTTCACATAAATGCCACATTTGTAACTGCTGACATGTAAATAATGTTTGGTTTATTAGTTATCAAACTGAAAACTAAATGTTGATTTTGCAAATACACCATGTTTTACATTCTACAAAATATTTACCTTTATGAAAATTACATTGGTTATAAGGAAGTTGTCTCAACAAACTGTAAGGATCATAATAATGTGGCAATAGTATCGCTCCCATCACACAAGTTTGCATAGCAGCCATGTCGATATTACTGAAAATTATAAAGATGGGGATTGCTCCTTAGTGGCATGTTTCCACAATATTTTAAGAAACTCAAATTAGTTCAAAAGTTATTAGGTCAGGAACAGACAGATTGATATAATACCTGACTTTCCTTATAAAACAAAATATGCTAAAAAATCATATTTATTTTTATTTATGGTTTATTTATCCATGCTGTCAGTTCAGACTATTTAGAACTGAATAGTAGGATGATTAATGAACTGGAAAGAATAAAGAAGGAAGCAATCATGGCCTATCCCATCATATTCCCAGAGGAACTGAAAGAACTCATGAAAAACTTCAAGATAGCTAGTCTCTGGGTTGACATTTGGTCCCAGGTCCTCCCATATATGAAGCAAAACATCTGGTCCCTCACATCTTGGATTCTCCATTTGTAGGCTTCCCCTTGTTTCTAACCACAGCCTTTGCAATTAAAATGTATCAATACAGAATTATGCAAGTTTCACCTAGTCATCTAATTTTAATTTCAAAGATTGTGGTTAAAAACAGACATTGGTGAATTTCGTACTCACTGTATTGTCCATGTCTGCACTTCACAGTGATTTTGGTTTAGCTCGTTACAGCTTGGTTCATGCAATGGGACAGCAAAGCAGGTATTCGCTGGTTAAAAAAGGTTCTGCGCAGTGGTGATGGCTCCACTTTTACACGTGCACACTGCTCATACTGTGCGTACAATGGAGAAATGTTATTTTGGACAGTAGTACTGAGAAGAGCATGTACAGAGTGTCATACTAACCTTCCAGTCCTCACTTTGGTAAGATGCCAAGAAAGATGACATGAACATGCTTATTTAGAGCTACTTATGAAACATGAAGGTTCAGTTACTGTGTTCACACACATTGCCACTGGATCATATCCTGAGCCAAATGAATGAAGTTCACATACTGATAACCCATTTGTTTAAATTCATTTTAATACCACCCTCCCACCTATGCCAAGATCTCCCAAATGGTCTTTTCTTTTCAGGTTTTCTGATCATAACTGTATGTGCATTTCTCATATCCTTGCATGCTTCATGGCTCACCCATGTCAACTTTATTGATTACCCTAATTATATTTGGCATAAAAGTACAAATTAGGAAGATAACATATTGTTTATGGCTATTTATGTGTGTTATGACTGACATTATAATCATTGCCATGGTAATGTTAAGGAATTTGTGGACTTATTCTTTACATGACCAACCTAAAACATTACCTCAAACACCTTTCATTGTCAGCACTTTTTTAGTATAGTTCTTTACAGTTACTGTCACACATGAAAGTTTATTTTTAGAGGTAGAAACAGATACCAACAGACTTAGAATGGACATTAGTTCACATTACAAAAAGTTGCCTGTTCAGGAGCTCAGCTGTACTTCTAGAAGGTAATATAAAACAACTACACTGAGGACAACAGCCAATGAGTATGTAATAATTGGAATAATTTCTACAAGTATGTGAGCGGAGGAATAACACCACATGCAGTCAAAGTCTACTGATGATAAACAAAAAGCTTACACAACATGTTGCTGGAAGTTTGGTACATATAGAAATTTTAGCTACATTTATAGAATTTGTTTAAATTTACTATTATAATTATTCTGGGACCAGTTAATAAGAGAATAGTATCAATAATTTACAGCTGAGAAGATGACAATGACCATTATATTACTCTTTGGCCAGCAATTGAGGAAATCAGTGTTCTTGCATGTTAACACCCTCCGAGAAATATCTGCATCATCTACACTGCAGCTTGATCCATGGCCTTGTCACCATAATCTTCCTTGATCATATTGTAAGTTTGTGCCATCATACACAAAACATACCATCATTAACTCTTCAAATCATGACAGCTTGGTGTGCCAACTCTAGAGCTTTCCATGTTCACTGTACACTGATTGGAAGCGCACACAAGAACAAATATGTGCCCACATCTTCCCTAAACACACACATGCAGACATGAATACTCACCCAAGTTTTGAGTAACTCTTTGGCTACTCAAAAGTTTAAATATTTCAAAATCTTTTACTACTACACAGCAATGTATGCGGTAGAAATTAATACTAAGCTAGAATTGTTAGTATGAGTACAACTGGACTTCAGGATTTATGTCATAAGGTAGTATTTCACCACAACAATAAAAAATGTACAATTATGCTACAATGGCAAAATATTAAATTTATTTCCCATGTACAGTTACTACAACAACTGAAGTATAAATATAGTAATGGTACTGCATTGCTGCAGAACAGTCAAACTGGCCCTGAACTTACCACAAGAGTATCATTCATTGCTGCTGTGCTGTGAGAGCCAACTGGCGTAATTGTTTCAGGACTGTTTCCAAAAGTTTCTTTTTGTCTCGTTCGCTCTTCTTCAGCACTGAGAAAACATTTTTCTTGTCTGCTTCACGTAACCTTAACACAATACAAACAAAAGGAAAAACTCATATATTTCAGAATGTCCGAAAGCTAACACAGACAAAGAAAGCAAACAACACATGAAGTCCTTTAAATCAAGCCTACACTTCAAAACCATAAGATTTACTGTTATAATAGAGACTCTTTTGTTACTTTTACTTCTTCATTTTTTAACCATGATTTAACAATTGCTTAGGTAACACAGTCCTGAATGAGAACAATGTGAGAAAATGTGTCAGAACTTGTATCAAGGTACTATTGTAGCATTTTCCCGAGTGAAACTATAAAAATTATCAGTCAGGACACCTTGACTTTGGGCTGAGATATGAATCCAGGACCTTCCAAATACAAAGGAGGAGTGCTAAGCATGGCAGTGCAACTGTCAATCTTTTCTGTTATAATCATGCTTTGCATCTCTCCACAGAGTACACGAACCAACAAGACTGTAAGAGTAATAATGTGTTTCACATCTTGGATGCACCAAACTGAATCCTGGATTTCTGTAGTTTCAACTTCTTTCCATACCTCATCAATCACAATAATTCAACAATACCCCATATGACAAGCATTCTCAGCATTTGATACAGCATCATAAAATAGCAATAAACAAAAAATATGTTTATTTAATTCTTGGAAATATTAACACAATGTGTAGGGTTCTGCCCATAACTCACTTCTCCAGCAAAATGATGGCTGTGTTAGGGTTAACCTGCTGGTACTTGCTGTTTTCCTGACCATAGTCATGAAAATATGTTGGCCAGTCCCATGTCATAAACAGATCCAACAACTGACGCAGGTCCGCAAAATAATGCAACAGAGTGCCTTCTTCAAGTCCTGCTACAGGCTCTGAAGCTGCAAATTCTGTGTAACAGTAATAAAGAAAATTATGTGAGACATAAATTTACACTTTGAATACTTGTCTGCATCTAAATCTTTTAAAGCACACCACCATGCATGCATATAAAACATATGGTATGAAAGACTGATACTGGAGAGAAAATATTAATACAGTGGGATAGTACATCAACTATTTATACACTTCAAGAAAGCCTCTGACTCCATTAGGATTCTCATCACATATTACATGTAGCTGGTTAACAGTGACTGGCACAAATTATGCCACGGATCATCAGCTAAGAAACACTGCTCCATCAAACTTTCATAATGAAGAATGGATTGAAGTCATACAGTCAACAATAATGCATTAAATTAACAGAAATATTATTTACGTTCACACTGAATGGTATCCAAATTGACTTGCTGTAGGGCTCCCATTGAAATTTGTTTCACATCTTCACTCAACATAAAACCCAAAACAGACTTTGCAATGTGGTCACATGCCGATTTGCAAGCTTCTTGGGCTACTTCTGGCTGCAAAAATATGTTATACAAAATTATATCATTGTACATGTAGAACTATGTAAGTGGATATGAACTATTTTATTCAAAGAAAACATAGTAAGAAACAAACAGTGAGACAATTAATGACCAATAGAAAAAGTATTAATCATATTAAAAGATCTGTATTCACTAATATGAGTGAGAGCTTTAGATTTATTATCAGTAAGACTGTAGGGGAATATCCAGATTATCATCACAAATTATGGCTCTAGCAGACAAATCAGGATTGAGTAGAAATTGTGCAGAGGCAGTGCGCTTGTCACTCACTACTCATGAATGCACACTTCAAAGACAAAGAAACCTCCCACATGGGAGAAGGTCAAGGCTCGACTTCGGGCTGTTGCGCCACAGAAAGAAAGATTCATTTACGCCGATGTACTCACAGGCAAATTAGTGAAGGAAAGAAATATGCTCTGTAGAAAAGCAATGAGGTCGGTGATGAAGCTGGAAGCATGCCCTTTTGGCTCCACTAGCAGCCAGTCATAGTTTTCTAGTTCCAAGAACTCATCTAATTTACACTTTAGCTTGTCACATATCTGACGCTCTGCATCATCACGAGCAACACGAAACATTGATGACTGACCTTGGTTACGTGAAACCATGTGACTCTCTTTTGGAGCACTGTAAAAGATAAATGAAATGCTCAAATTAAACACACATATTCATATGATACAAATACGTACAAAAGTGTAACATTTCATAAATTCAAGTTTAAATTATACTGAATAGCATTACAGAAAAACAGAAAGGGGCACACCTTAATACAGCAAATGATGTCCTCCCATGCATGCAAAATGTAATATATATTATAAATTTTTTAAAGAAAGGTAAAAACATCTTATATTTGAGGAGAAATATTTCATCAACTAGAGAAATTTAAATAAATTACAGAGAAAATCCATAGACCTGGCAAGTTTTATCAGATTGTTAAAGATATAATATGGAATTGGAAAATATGAAGAATGATTAAAGCTAGACTATAAAAAATATATTACTTGTGTATTGTGACTCATGCAGCAAAAACATGGATGGATGGATGGATGGATGGATGGATGGACTAGAAGTCATACAGATAAAGTTTTTACAGAGTACTAAGAAACGGATATGAAGGAATACAATTTAAAATCAGGACATTATGCATGATCTTAAGGTAGAAACAATACACAAAAAGGGAAATAAATGAGCACTAGGGAGACCAAGGACTAGAGGTGCAGATACTAAGCGAGAGAAGATAAACAAGAACAGAGTAGAAAAACAATGGACATGCATATAAGACAAATGTTATGATTTGTTATAATATGACTGACCCTGCAATCTATAAAAGAAAATTACTATTTTAAAACTAGTGACATTTTTCATTTTCCACTTCCTTTTAGGAACTAAACAGTCAGGGTCAATTACTACGTCACTGTACTCTATCCCATATAAGGCATATAATGGTGTGACCCACCAAGAAATGTAGAAGAGGAAACAGAAGTTAGTGACTGGTCACTGAATTCCTCAAAAATGGGAAGATGAATGATTATGATGCCTGACTTTAAATATCACATACAAGTTTTAACATTTAAGTTGTAAATAAACATGTTCTCACATAACAGTAATAGTTAGATATTTTCTATTTTTAACACTCAATGTGAGAAAGATTGGATATTTGCCCTTGGAAAACATGCACTTTTACTAGTTCAGTAATCAGAAAAGGATGATAACTGATGAACAACAAACCCTGTGATATTGGATACGAACTCCTCCAAGTAGACTGTAGCCTCTTCAAGATAACCAGTATCTATTATAATCTGTATTACTTGAAGAAGGGCTAGACTTGGCTTACGAAACAAAGAGGAAAGGCAACCACTGAATGATCTTGTCAGAAGCAAGTTGGTTGACTTTCTGATCATATCATCCACCTCCTCTTGACTGTAAAAAATAAAAATGATGAACAATATTCTGTGAGATTACAGATCATCACGGTGGTGAGTATAAAGATATTTCACAGGTGCTTTCAGAGGCAATTACTCATTGTCCTGATAACGGTGACAGCAAGAAGCTCAGAAATGTCAGTCAACTTCTACCAGACTACACAGTGCAACAAGCCAGAAGGCAGGAATCTTCAACATTTTCTTAAGATTAATATTCTATATGTTTAAATACAAAAAATAACAACAGCATCTTAAAACTGATAAAAACAGCATCATTTTATTTAACTTTTTCACTGCCTACAATGTTTCCAGACACTATACATGCAAAAAATTCTAAAATTTTAAACACTGGAAAATAATTTTGCAACACATATAATATCAATGTGCTACTGTACCATAAAAGTTTAACTCAAAACACAATTTTGGCTATGAATGTGAGTTAAAAAAGAAAATACATGGTGTATAACACCAATGAAAGCTGCAGGTTTTGAAGTACTATTTCACTCTAAACAAAAACAGATGCTTTAAATATTGTTTTACCTTAGACTGAGATCTTCTGAAAACTTCAGGCAGGCATAGATAAATTCTTTAACCTGCTGATACACCTTTGGAACTAATGGTGAAAATGGAAATCGCTTAGGAAAAGGTGTAAGCTCCAGAGCTTGGTCATGAAATGGAAATGACTCCACAACATTGTCATACTCTGCCTGGGATGAAACCTGTAACACAGTCTCATTTTAGTGTTCAGAATACAATAAATACAATTATTAAAATATGACCAAATTAAATAAATGAGAAGAAATAAGCATTACATAGCAGTGGATGAATTACCAAGATGTCACATAGCGCATGTCAATTATGGTCTCCTGGACTGTGATGCTCTGTAGTCATGCAGATGGTTATTGACATTTCAAAGCAAAGTATCATCTCCATTTTCTGGAGATAGTGGTGATACATTCTTCTCAAATGCTGATGTTCACATAAAAGACTACACAGCATCACAACCCTCAGTCTATTTAGAGAGTCTATGTGATATCAAGACTAAATCTTTAGAAGAAAAAACCGTATGTATAAAAGTGATTTAAACATAAGCATCAAATGGATTCCCATAACAAATCATGAACAAACATCCCAACAGGAAGACACAACTTGTATTCCTACTTAAAATACTATAAGGCTGTGTGCACCTTTCAGGATAAAACAGGTCACTTTTAACTCATTAATTTGAAACAATATGTAATGATGACATATTCAAAGAATTTCTTTGTAAATAGCTTACCTGTATAGGGAGAAAGCTTTCCTCATCAAGTATTTCCCTGAACACCTGAACCCAGCGCTGCATTAGCACCTCATTGTAATGGTCTCGGATTTCATGTAACAAGTCAAACAATTGATTCACTGAGTAGCCATAGTTCTGCAAAAGACAAACAACACAGACATATTACAAAACAATATGATCATTAGTGTATCCATAGGAAGAATTCCTTCTTCAGAACTCCATCAGTTACCTACATGCCTGCTTAGCTGTTTACCAATATTATGGGATACCTCGTGACCAGTTTCATGAAAATAAACATCATTTCACTGTACTCACCTCATCTTTATATATTTAAACACTCATTTTTATCGATACTAATATGGCAACTCTACAGACTCAGGAGATGCAAACCACACTACTGCAATTCAAATAAAATGATGACATTTTAGAACTAAAAATTTAAACAATCATAAAATTTATACAAGATTACTGAAATAAACAGAAATAACAAGAAAGAAGAATGGCAAACAAATTAACACCAGATTACAGCATAAAAGCATAAGGGGAAAAGAAATTTAATATCTGACAAGATGATGACCTATCAATGATGACATTCCTTTTTAAATTATTTCCACTAAGGCCAGTCTATTAACTTGTAAAAACTAACATCATACATATGAGTTATGTTACATTTACTAACCCTGAGGGTGGTATTGAATAACATAATCAAATTCTTTATCTTGAGCATGAGAGTTGCATCTGTACAATAGGCCTGAAACAAGAGAAAATAAAAACAAAATTACAAAAATTCTTGCAAGTTTGCAACCTGATAATGTTTCATGTACACACAGGCTATAATATCTAATGACAATGTAGAAGCTTTTGCCTACATACTTTACCTGTATTAAATGTAACTTTTTCCCACAAGATGTCACAAGAGACAGCTTTATTTTTCAAGCTGTAGATACCATTATTAAGTTGTTAAATGGCAGCCATGGCTTCTTTTAAATTCAAACAATTTGTAGAAGAAAATATTAATAAATTCTAATTTTCTGTTCCTGAATATGAGGGCGAAAGAAAAGACAAAAAGCACTCTAAAATTTAAACTAAATTAAATAAGTTTTTAAACATATTTTCACAGGCAAGGCAAAAGCAAAATTTATGCACTGTAAGAATTAAAAACCTCACAAATAAATGGTGAATAAGACAGTAGAACATACCGAATGTGTTCGTAAGGCATTAACTATTTTAGACAAGGCCATACTCCAGACTTCATCCAAGTAGGTTCGGTTCACTAAACCATTCCCTGTATTCAATACATGATCCTCAACTACAAAGAAACCTACAATCCCATGTATGTAGGCTCGATATCCAGCAATAGTCTCATGCTGAAAAACAAAAGAAAATTAATTTATGAGTACGGTTATATAACAAAACCCATATCTTAACAGTATATTGAGTAACAAACTAGAAAACTCTCTAGTAGTAGAACTAAAATGTTCCAAATACCACCATTTGACACAATCCTGAGCCAGTTCAATCCACCTCCTATCCCCATAATCTAATTCTCAGAACCAGCTTAATGATATCAGCCAATCCACTTCTTGATCTTCCATCAAGCCTTAATCCAAAAGGATTCCACACCAAAAACCTGTATGCATTTCCGGTGTTACCTATTTGAGCTGCATGTCCAGCTCATCATAGCCTCCCATCCTAAGGACTAGGGTTTGATCCCTATCAGAGGCAATGGATTTTTCATCTAGCCTCTGCATCCAGACTGGCTCTGACCAGTGGGTACCAGAGGTCGTTTCGCCAGGAGCAAAGCGTGATCAGTGTGATGCTGACCACTCTCCCCCATCTACTTATGAGTAGGAACTATATTTCATTTCCCCATAAGCACCTCCATGGCATGCAGTGGAACAATTCTACTTTACTCCAAAGAACACCATGACATATTTCATACCAATGGCAACATGTGCATTCCCTTTATTTCAAAACACTAATGCATAGTGCATATTTGTGTTGGTACATCTGGTGCATGAACAACAAAGGATTTCCTGACCCACTGATCAGTTCATAGCCGCACACTCTTACCATGTTTGTAGGTGGCTGAAGAACAAGGCGTGCCTGTTTTTTCCTTTGTTTTCTGTAGTATGTCTCAAAAGTCTCCCTTGAACCCAACACTGTGTAAATATGCAAGCAACGGTAGACAGGAGAAAAATCAATAAGATCTTGCGCACTCAAATCCTCCTCAGCATCATATGTACTTTCGGCAGGTTGCTCATAGTCTATTTCGCCAGTAAATGGATTTGGTGGTGGTGGCGCCTGCCTCTTCTTTCTGCCAATGACACCTGGATCACTGCCCAATTGTTCAGCTGTCTAGATAAACAACATCAATACGACAGTAGAGACAGACAATGAAAGTGGAAATACGCGTGTTTAAAGAAATTACAGACTCATTTTTGACCCTAAAAACTTATATTTTTAAAAAGTTAATTATAAAAGACAATGTATATCATATCAGTAAGTTCTAAAGTGGAATGTTTATTATACAAATGCCAAATCAGTATTGTTATGAAATTCATAATAAGTAGAATCTCAATGGAACAGAAACAGAATTACTTTCATACATATTAGTATTCTAAGTAATTAAATCATAATTTTCAATATGTTCAGCAACACATAAATTATGAACATCATTCTCACCTATAGCATCATTATCATAGTTTACTACACCAAAAACAGAGGAATATTTGCATAAAATAAGAAGAAAGCACAGAAAAACCACCTTACAAGTAAATAGGAAGCCAGTTGTTTTTCTGATAATACAATGAACCAAATAACAAAAATTAATAAGAAAAATATACTTCATAGCAACAGTATCAATAATACAAAAAGCAATCACATTTCTGTTTTCAGACTTTAGGTATCCTAAATAGTGCATCCAATTACTGAACAAGTGGTACACTTATGGTTTACACGTAGTATCTAAACCAATTACCACTGTTTCGGTCTATTTTAGTAATGTTAAGTTCTGATAAAGTTCAAATCAGAATGCTTGCTTCACTGAGTCTTGTGCTACTTAAAAAAACATAAAAACATCACTAGGTACAAACTTTATTTCAGTTCAACTAAATCAAGATGGCAAAAACACTGCATTTATAAACTCATAATTTCAATCTTAAGTAACTAAGAAGTAAAAGAAACAATAAATAACAAGACTTTTAAAATGACATGGAAACCTGACTCCAATTATATGGAATATGTAAGAAACACATCTTTATAATTTGTGTGCATCTACAGCATGTCAAACAAAGTCTGTATAAATATGTATGTCCGGTCATTTGGAATTTACAATTAGAGGATCCCATAAATAATATTGCTTTCAATTTTACCTTACAATAAGCCATCAAGTTGGCTCCAAGAGAACCAGGAAGAGCTGGAATTTGGTAGCTTAATTGGGTACTCACATATGCTGAAGATTTTATATTAGTACATTAAAATGTGAACATTATAATCAACAATGTTAAAACTCTTTTAGAAGCTACTGAAACTTAAATACAAATTAAATAAAATACACAACCTTGCCACAATATTAATATCAACATCAAAGTACAATAGTTAATTTGGTCTCCTACATAAGAAAGATAAAATAGAAATAAGCTTAAACCACTTACATGCCTCATCGCTACCTCTCCAATTTTTGGTGAGAATTTTCGGATGTTTTCCAAAAAGTCCTTCAAATCTGACATTGAAGCCTCCTTTATGTTTTCTCTCATCCTACAAAATAAAGATTTTCAAAATGAAACTGCGCAAAATATAATTATTTGAAAATATTTGTATTTAATAAGGGCACAGCATACTTTGGTATGTTCTCCTTCATCTGATGTGAAAACCGATAATTTGCAACTCTAGGCAAGTACAAGTGCTCCAACTGCTCCAGGGTCTTTAGAGCTGGATAATACCTACAAAAAGTAAATTAATTTACAACAGTCAATAAATTAATCCATTCATAATATGTAAATTAGCCTACTATCTGCTTCAGGGCCATTTTTAAATGTAATGTTTATATGTAATTTATGTTACATGCACCTGTTACACATGAATCATAAAAATAATTAATGATTTATAAGAAAATTTAAAAATTTGTAATAAAAATGTGTCCTACCATTGTCCAAATAGATCAATCGAATAAATAAAAACCTCGACACCTACGGGTAAAAGAGGATGAGAGAGACAGAGAAAGAAAGAAAGTAATAAAAATTAAAATTACAACAGTTACATTTGAAATAGAGCATTATCCAATGCTCGTTGTGTGCACACTAATTACCGTTTCTCTTTCATTTGTAGCTGGAGTTTGGCATAAGTTGTGAGGACAGGAAGGCATGATGACAGGTTATCAATTGCTGAAGCTATATTGCTCTCCACTTTCCGAGCTTGAACGAGCTCCTCTCCTTTCACCAAAACATTAGCTGCTGAGGTCTGCAATTCTCGATCAATTTCAACTACCTCACTCTGCAAGTACCAAGAATAATTTAAACAGTATTTTCTGGTTACAGCATAATTTGTATAATTTATCATTCTTTGAATTCTAGCATGATTCATCATTTTATAAACAGATACTGTATGAATTAATATAATAATTTTCCACAAGAATGTATACACTGTTCAACTGGAATACGTTTCTTATTACAGCTAGCAACAGACAACTGCACAACATACAATTCTTACAAAACATAAAAGGACATATAAAGGCAAAAATGAACAATTTTCATTCTCATATCAGAACCATGAACTTTACAGAAATACTTACATTTAACTTTTTGGCTTGGGACCTGACTTGAAGAAGTTCTCTTATGGAATCAATAAATCCCTGATAATGGAAATTACACATACGTTCTATGTCTTTGTCATGGCTTTTGATTCGAGCATCCAGACGTTCCATAAACTTCTGGTGTTCATCCCCATCATATATGGCTCTGTTAAAATACAAAATCTAACTTAGTTCACAGTCTTAAGGAGAATAGCACTGAATAATTTGTGTAAGACAAACTGAGTAGGAAATAGTGGTTGCAGTCTAGTTTAAGGTACTAACCATTTTTCCTGAAAGGGTTAAGGGTTAACTAACCTCAGAACTTCTGAATATAAAGCAGAAGTCCAAATCAATGTACTCTGGTGTAAGGTTTTAACTACATATGTACATGCGCTTTGAATAATAATTACATAAAATAAATAAGATCAGAAAAACAATATATGCCTCTGTACATATAACAATATGTAACAGGCAGATGTTTACAATACCACCCATAGAATATAATGTGCAATGACAACAGGATCAATAAATGGCAGGATAAAGATGCTGTAACAGATGCAGCAGTACCACCAGTCAAAAATATTGTCAAAAGAGGATGAAAAATCCTAGGACATGGAAAATAGATACTGTGTAGAATATATAGACCAAAGTAGTCTTGATAACAATATTAACAATGGTAATCAATTATTTTCATGAAGCAGAGCCCTTTTCAAGAAGATAACAGTCAGCCACCTGTCAAGAAATTCTCCACCTTCTATGGAAACTAATGGTGTTCACAAGATCCTGGCCACTGGTCCCTATTCTGAGCCAGACAGGTCCAGTCCACATATCAACACTATTTATAAGGCAAATTTTAATATTATCATCTAATATATGTTTTGTTCTCCCAAACAGTCTCTTTCCTTCAGGTTATACAACCAAATAGTGGCTCAAACAAATAATTTGAGTCATGTATCATGAAGATTTATCTCCTGTTTAAATAAAGTTACTAATGTTTTCTGAAACAAACTATTTCCATTAACTTACAGCACTTCCAAACCAAATGGAAAGTTGCTGAAGTTCTTTTCAAAATTATTTGCACATTCTTCAACAGAAGATATTAAACAAGTACTTTTATGAGATTCCATCAAAGCTAATGACTTGTTCTACGATCTGACTGATTTGATTAATATTAACTTCACACAAAATATTATAACACATTTCACTCTTCATTTATGGTGCAGTACATGGCCAATGAGTACTGCTCTCATGTAACTATCACAGTATCAACCCACTTCACTGGAGATGTGTGTGTGTATGAAGGGAATCAATGCTATACTGATGGATGGTAATAATTAACAAACCAACACTAAAAGCATATGGCCTTCTACTCCCCTTTTAATCAGCAGCAGGAAACAATAAAAAAAATCACACAGGAAGCAGACCAAACCACTATCATGTTTCAACAGACCAGCTGGGCTATAAACACCAAACTTCCTATTACAGTGCAGTGTTTATAAAATGTTCACAGAACATTCTCATTGAGTACCTAGTGGGAAGGAAAAAAAAGCAATAAATACAACCCATCACTTCCATACACACACAAACATCTGTACAGCAAGGATGGAGAAGGGGTTGAGGTATTGTAACTTTGGAACAATAACTAAATCTATTCATTCTTTATATTATGTAATACAGACATTATAAGCTTATGCAACAACTTCACAAATATCTTTCACAGCTTCCATTAAAATATATGGGTGTGAAATTTGGTCTTCATTATAATGTAATAAATAATACAGAAGGTGTTTAAGAATAAGGTGATGAGGACAATATTTAGACCTCAGAGGGAGAAAATAACAGGAAGTTGGTTAACATTTTACAACAAGCTTCAAAACTTTTTACTCTTCACACTCCTTTAGATAGTGAACTGGAAGGATACTGGACAGACAAAGAGGAATGCAACTGGGAATCAAATTATGCCAATGATGTTAACAAACCACATCGGTGCATAACAGTCTCAGTCTTAATTGGAGGGGAATTGATACATTTTTATCCAGATTAATGCTCCCCAAATAGACAAGCCACACAAAGTAGAAACATCTTAGGAAGAAGAAGATATGCTCCCAAGGCAGAATGTGATGAGGACATGAAAGAGATAAAGAGATAATGAGAAATGGAGAAGTATAAATTATGACAAAGGCATCAGAAACAGTCTTAGGAGATGTTAAGGTTATGCCTAGTGTTAGTGTCAGAAAGAATCAAAAGCTGTTGGTAGCAGATTTTAAAACTATCAGAATAATTAAGATAGCTGCAAGGAAACACCAAAGACAAAAGTATTTAAATTACAAAACTGGGAAGGTAAAGAAGAAATCCAAAATAATATAAAAATACCAAAGAATGAAATTGGGTCAATATAAAAAGAATATAAGCTGTTTAAGAACACATTAGTATCAGCAGGAGATAAAATATGTGGGAAAATACAAACAGAAAAGATAAAAATCACCCTGGGAGAATGACAGAACTGCAGAAGAAATAAAGATGAAAAATAGCATGAAGGAACGTGTTTAAAACTATACGAAAAGCAAACAAATAAGATTGAAAGGAACAGGCAAAGAAAACCATCAGAATTGATTAACATGATCTATGGAAGAGATTCTCAAATACTTGAGGAGAAAAGATCATTAAGATCATTACAAGACATCCAAGAAATTAATTTACAGAGGAAAGCAGAAAATATGAAAGAAGACAGAAGAAATATGTAAAATCATAGGTGACAAATGACAGTCAAGGTGAAAAAAAATATATATAGAAGGAAAAGTTACTTAGAAAAGTTGTTATGGGTAAAAGCCATCAACCCATAAATGGCAAAAATAATAAGAGAAGAAGTTGAAGAAGAAACAGCATGAATATGGAGAGGAGAAAGACTTAGAAATGGATGAAGAAATAAGGATATTGACATGAGAATAGCAATGGGAAAAGTAAATGACATGAAGAAATAAAAAGAGAGGATAAAACACAAATACAAAATATAAGGGTTGGAGAACCAGTGGCTATAATGAGTACTAATAAATATTTTAAAGAAAAGAACAATAACATAAAAGAAAGCCTAATAATCCCAATTTATAAAAAAGGGCATAAGAATGCAAAAACTTATGGAGGAATTATATTATATCATCAGTATTATACCTAGTCTTAATGTACGTGAAACTGAAAATACACATGTACCTATTTCTGCTTAAATGCATTAAAAATTCAGTAACCTTATTTTTGAGCTCATTCTCATTAACAGAGCAATCAGAATGACTGCAGTCTTCTTAATCATACAAGGCAACACTGGCTAACCCAGTTTTATGCATTAAATTACGGACACCAAAACAGACCCATTCAAGACCCTCCCTTCAG